GAGCAGACTAAAGACAAACTACCTCCTTGAACTCTTGGTTTGAAAGAAACAGATGGTACCAAACACGTTAAAATGGCTGAGAAAGCCACTTGGGGACATTTGAATTGGTTATTCATGTCATATATAGAAATGTATATAAGAAAGAGTTTCCAAAAATGGAAAGAGGTAGGCAGGGTGCCACTCTGTTTGATTCAGTACACGAGTTTTATCCCAGCAAATAGAAAAGATATGAGGTTCTTATTTTATATTCTAGCTTGTCAATATTGGTAGTTTGAGTTCCGAATTCGTACAAAACTATAGACTTAGTATTTCGACATCATATACACATAATCTGAACCAGTGCTACATTCAACTGTTTTTTTAATATTTACTTTTAAATTAAGAAATTGAGTTAGGTATAATACTAAAATTTGAATTATCTACAATTTTATATCAAACTTATTGACATAAATTCTTGAAATAGTAGTTCAATAAAAGCTCTAAGCAGAATTGAAATGCCATGAATTGTTCATATAGAAAGCTATCTAAATGAGTATCCATTCTTCCACCCTTCAACTAGTTGTTATATGCAAGCTAACTAAATAGATTACTAAAAATTATAGTATACGCTCAAATTTCTTGATTTCAACATTACAGAATGCTCATTATTATAGATTTTCTGACATTAGTCTCAAAGTAACTCAAGTTCATGATTCAAAACAACTTTTATAATTAAAGATTGTTGTACCATGGTGCTGTCCACATTGTGCCTGTGTGCCACAATTCAAAGTATAATGAGAAATCTTTGTTAACAATTGACAAAGATAATTTAAGTGCAGAACAAATATAAAATGCTGATGAAATAGATTTATTTTGGCACTGCCCAGACATGACTTTCGCTGATAGTACTGAAAAGGTGGCTCACAGATACAAACAAGCAAAATCCCAGCTAATGGTTTCTTATTTATGCAAATACCACAGGCACATATAAGATGAAGCTACTTGTGATTGGCAAATATAATCACCCAAAATGCTTTAAAAATGTTTTTCATTTGCCTGCAATTTATAAAGCTATTCTGCACGTGAAGATTTTAGAGCAGGCATTTCTGAAAAAGAAACAGGCAGCTCGAAGACAAGCTGATATTCATATTTTCTTCAGACAGGATTTCTCCAAAAAAGCATCAAGAGATTGGACTGCTTAAGTTTTGGAGGTTTCAGTATTAATATCTGTATACTTGAATAAATCATAATATGCATAATGTCCTATTATTCAGTTTCCATGCTCATAATTCTGCATGACGATCCAATTCAATTAATATTGGGTAAATTTTGATTTTACAGGCAATCCTCAGCCCTAAGCAGTTCGTAATTTAAAGTTTTTATTGTATTTGTAAATTATGTGGTATTCTATATATACAAATCTAACTAGTAGTGCATAATATCACAAAATGTATAATAATTAGAATGCACTGACTTAAGTACCCTTGCTATCACATACCACAATTGCTATGATATCTTAATCAATGCCACCTGTGTAAAGAATTTAACTCTCTCTGTCTGAGCTTAATCAAAGAACCAACTTTATAATTATGAATTTAACGTGTATCTACATGAAATTTGGCAAGCTTTTAGTAAGTATTACTATTCTGTTGTATACAAAAATATCAGAAGTTCTAACAGTGTTTTTACAAAATATTTGACTGAAAATTTCCAAAAAGGCTTTATTAAATCAATTTGAATGCAAAGTGATTTATGATTTTAAGAATAGAAATATTTCCTTTCATCTCACAGTTTGGTAGTTCCTAACCTCTAGAAGCTTCTTCATTATTATCACAAGTTTAAAATAAAAGTTTACATTTTATGTTATTTTCTCTACCCTAACACTAACTATAGCAAATTCATCAACATATAGTGAAATGAAGATGAAAAATACACTGATGTACGGCACTTATGAAACTCTTCATCTGTATACGTAGCTAGCTAATCCTAGTTTGTTTTCTTTCACATACAAAGTCATATTTCTTAGTGAAGTATTTCTAATAAAATAAAGATTTGTGCATGAATATATTGAGTATTTGTTTTAAATAGTCCATGTGAAAAGTAATTTTAATGATAAAATTAAAAATATATTTCCTCATCTCAAAAATCCTTTGTTACAATCCCTAAAACCTCCTAAATGCATTACCAACGTTTTTTCTCAGTAACATTTTATACTTTATCTGTTATTTTATCTACCCTATCTGAAAATGGGATCAGTCAATTCGACTAATCTTGTAACAACAACAAAAAAAAAAAAATGAAATAAACCTAAACTGACCTTCTATTCTTTCTAGAATGACTTCAAATTGTAACCTGAAACTACATTTGTTTATCCTAAGTAGCTCTAAGTTTGTAACATTATACATCTATTTATAATTAAATTTTATTGCCCTTTGAACTGTGTCTAACTGCTATCCGCTATCGAATTACATTACCCATGACTTGCTCGGGTGCGTGCTTCGTGAACCATTTTAATTATATTATTATTATTATTACTACTTATTTTACCTAATCTAGTGTTAAATAACTTAAAAAGATCCACACTTTTAATTTTAGTTACTTTTATAATTATAAATAAAGAAGAAATATGAAAAAGAAGAAATAAAGTACTTACCCAATCTTCTTTTTTCTTGCCCTCGATTATCAAGGAGAGTTAAGCCTGATTTTTTTTTTAGTGATTAGAGTAAAGCACTTAACAATTTTTATTCAATTAAATAATACACCAAAGAATATAGGCTAATAACATGCAAAAAGTAGACAAATTCACTTCTTAACATTTTCCTGGCTTTCTAACTATGCAATAAATGCCATTACAAATTCATCCAAGCTAGTCGTTAACTTTCCCACGGGAACGGTGTTGCTACTCCAAGTGAAATTGATGGTTATCTTTTCAGAACACAACACTATACAATACACCATTTGATAGATGAAAACCTTGACTTTCTATTGGTTATAGGTAATATATAATGAAACGTAAGAGAGAACTATCAACGAATTGTGATAGAGAGGATGTGACATGTAGGTGTGGTAGGACAGGTCTCATTTTCTATTCGATAGCTCTGTAATCAAACAAAATTGAAGGCTATAAAAATTATGGTCTGTTTGAGCAACCATGATTTTATAAAGAGTATTTTACATTTAATTTCGTACATTTGAGGGGTGATGGATAAAATAGGGACGATGACATGCTATGAGAAAATGTGTCATGGTGGTCACACTAGTGGAAACTCAGGATTTTTTTAAAATATTGCCTTGTAGAATTAAGAACTTAAAACTTGTATACTATTAAAATATGGACTATTAGCTAAGAGTAAGCTATTCTAACTGGTATAACATAAACAAAAAGTAATTTAATAAAATTTTGAATGTAAGACACTAAAATCTTGTGTTATGCGCAGTAAAGGATACTTGGGGTGATAGGGTTAAATAATGCATCAAAGAACAAAGAATAATAAAATGCAAAAAGCAGACAATGTCCCATAACTATCACAATTTTTCTGGCTTTCTAAGTACTTGACAAGAGTCGTTACAAGTTTATCCAAGCTAGTTAACAAGTTCCAATGGGAACAAACAGGCCCGCCTTGAATGAAAAGATGGTTGGGGTTTCTGTTGTAGGTTGGGAAAATATGTTAATGTCTTGTGAAACAGAAGAGTTAGGATGTTGAAACTATTTTGACTTTGGAATTATTTACAGATTGTGTTTACATTACTTAGTGTAGATGCAATGTTACCAAATTCGATGACGAGGAACCCACTTTGAGACTAATAATGGCTGGAGACGGCTTAAATGGGTAATGAAGAAAAACTTTAATATAAGTTTAACATGACAGCAAATGTCGAAACGCCATTAAAACAATATAAATTAAATACAAGAACAGTCCCAAGAGATATAAGAGCTATAACAATATAAATTAAATACAATAACAGTCACGAGAAATGTAAGAGCTATTACAATATAAATTAA